GCGTTTCCGGTTCCGCTTTTTTTTAACAAACCGGCTACTGGAACAATACACCAAAAGTCTAAAAATTAAGGCGATAAAATTGTGCGATTTCAAAATGGATCTAATAAAGTGGCAATTGAACTTCATGTCGTGCAATTTTGATCTGAAATCATACTTGTGATTTCAGATCGAACGAGCGCGCAGCGCGAGTTCGATTTTGAAATCACGCGTATGATTTCAGACCAAATTGCACTCCACTCAGTTCAATTACCATTAGAAATCTGTTGATTAATTAATTACTAAATCTGTACATGTTAGCTAAAAAGAAACAATAGTACACAGTACACTGCAGTCAAAACTAAAGTAACATTTTAAGTATTAAAACAACAATGAAATTGCATTTTACTTCTGATTGTTTGATTGCTTCACAATCATACAACACACTAATTTACAGAACTTTTCTGGGAAAAGCAAAAACAGGCACTTTCCATATGATGCATCTAATATCTTAGCCTTGTTTTTGGCTTTATGTCTCACCTAACTGTGGCTATAGCCTTCCATTGGACAAACAAGGTGACACTGAGATTATCCAACTTACCAATATCAAATGCTCGTTGTTGAGGATTTGGTTGCTGACTGTGCCAGTATTGCCAGTGTTCACATTCAGTCCTGGGATCCTTCTCATCACGAAAAACCAGATGTACGTAAGACTGCAATGAAATGGGAAATTGCATTATTTAGGAAAAGCTCTGCAAGATTTACCACATAGGACACAGTTCTCTTTAGTGCAACAGCATAACCAATCATACCTTTACTCTTTGGATTTCACCATCAGTTGTTGCAGGATCCACATTACCCTCAAAGCCTATAGCGTAAAATTGTCCTGAAAAAGAGAGAGCAAAGTTCACAGAATTAGACATCACTGTCATTACTCCATTTGCCTGTTTCTTGACCATAAAGTGACTTTGATAGGAATTCTTTTACTTCTTCCCCTGTATGGGAATTAGATGATGAGTTGCAAAGATGACTTGCACTTGTGAGTATCATGCCAGGTTGAATACTTTGATCTCACACCTAGCTGAAAATTGCAACTTTCACAGTTTTTAAATAGTTAATATATGTAAATTAGGTTTTACTCAGAAAAAGTTTAAACTACTGGGTGAAAACAGACACTGTGGAAATAAAGTGTCTTACCCAAGAATAAAACACAGTGACCACAGTCAGTCATTGAACTTAGAGTTGTTGATCAAAGTCCAACAGATCACCCTACAGATGTTGACCTATCACTAAGCCCTGAAGCAGATCTACAGTTTATAAAACAACCTGCTAGATACCTTTGTTGAGATATGTTAATGTATCGTCTCCTCTTCTTTGAATGATAGACGTTGGTGCCTCAAGAATGAATGTATACCTTGAAAAAAGCAATAATGCATTGTCAGGGGTGGTAATTTAAAGCTGTGCGAATACAAGTGAACAATTCCAAACAAATATAAAATAATGTATAAATAATCTGTAAATCTTACTTGTCTTGAGCAGAGAAGACAGTTGGTGTGGATTTTAGTGACTGGGTGTACGGAGAGAAGTTAAAGGCCTACAAAAGAAAGCACAAGTCGGTAAAAATACATTACAGTACACGGTTACACACATAACTGATCTACATTTCTATGTTTGTCTCAATACATCTTCTGGGGATGATGGATGACCATTCCTCAACACATTCATATGGGTTGGCCAATGAGACTGTGCAAATGACAATAAAAAGGTTGCACTGACAAAACACATGCAGTATCTACATCATGGGAAGATAAACACTTCTGAAAAGGACAGCATCTGAAGCCCACATGTCAAACAATATCTACAAAAGAGAGCAAATCAGAATATTCTGATCCTAACTCTTCCTGGCCACCCTGAGGTCATAGGGCTCTTGTGTTTCTGACAAGTTCCCCAGCCATAGTTATTGTAAACCAACACTATGTAGATATATTTGAACTCAAATACATGTATAGATGATTTGTACAAGCACATGATACTAGTACATTTCTCAGACAGTTTCTTCTGTAATGTGCAGCTCCAGAAAATATCCATACCCACCCCTTGAAGGATCACTGGAAATTCCAAGGGAGTGGGGGGACGCAAGGGCCAAAACATTTAAAGGAAAGTACAAAGCTAAATTGGCATTTCTGGGAAAGTTGGGGTGGGAGGGGGGGGGTCTTACATGGGAAGGGTGTGGATATTTTCTGGAATACAATGTAACTAACCTCAGGGGGAGTGGTGCTAAGTGAAAGTGGCGACACATCACTGACTTGTGGTGTTCCTTTACTGGAAGGTGGGTATGATGAAGGGCGACCAATGGGAATAGGGGTATGGCTACAACTTGACGAGCTAAAAGGAAATTGGGAAGAGAACCGTCACTTAATAATCACTGACAGGTATTACACCCTTGTTAAATGAAATCTGCATTTTGTAACGCTACAAACTCTCAAGACCAATACTATGACATAGTGCTACATGTACACAAAGAGATTAATATATTTTTAGAAGAAATATGCTTCACAGAGAATTTCATCACAAATTTCTTCAAAGAAAATGTTTTTCACCATCTGTAACAAAAATGTTGACTAGAGGTAATGTTGCAAAAAAACAATAAAACATGCTTTTTCTATGTTTTATAATCTGATAAAACATGGGTTTTTGACCAATCAGAGTGCGTGCAGGGTCCTATCCATATTATAATGCTAAGTAAAGAGGATTATATTAATTTATATAGTTCTCAAGTATAAAATTATAAAGTTCAAACCATATTGATATCCTAAAACAATAAATGTCAACAGCTTTATCAAATACATAACATGGTGCTGGGAAAAATTCAAATTTTCACCTTGGCTGCACTTTAATCTGCTGACCAATAGCAAGTGCCTGAGAAACAAATTAAATTTACGCAGCTTGATATTGTGAATTGATTAAGGCCTTATTAAGTCCCATGATGCAATGAGGATCAATGATGATGAATTGTGAATTGATTAAAAGTTCTTGTCCTGAATAAGACAAGTACAGACAAAGAACCAAGCTGATATAAACTTCTGAGACTTTCCACAAAAAAGTACGTACAATAAATAATTGTATTGTAGAGTGAAAAGGGATTGACATCTAGGAACTAAGCCAGGATTAAAATCACATATTTCAATCTTTGCAAACTTTACACTTTTTTCACATCACATGACAATATTACTAAATGGGATAGTTGCTATCGTGCATTAATTCATTTTCTCACACACCACTGGCAGCCATGTCAAACTGACTGCCGCCGTCTGACCTTCATTGCAAAATCAGAGCTAATTCAAGTAGCATTACGCTTAAGACCGGAAATAACGAAAATAGTTCAAGGATTGTACAATATACTGGTACTGGATAAAAACTTAAAATCTTTGGATGGATGGGCGCGAAAGTCAGCAATGGTCGAGGCAACAAAAACAACTGCCCGCCCCATAGGTCACATAACCTGTACCCAGATCTCAGCAACGTGTGAGAAAAACATTTTTCACTAATTTCATTTTACTTGGCCAGTGAAAAATTACTCATGTCCCTGTTTTTTTAAATACATATATGCTAATGAGGCCATAAGAGAATGCTCACTGCCAGTGATCACTGTATTGCCATGACTAATTCCGCATGCGTGGAATGTTTAAGGAACGAATCACATAATCAGAATTGTTTTAGTAGTTATATAAGCAGGCATAATGTATGTGCAGTGTGTGTGGAAACCAAGAAGTAACGGTTGATTCGAGTATATTAAAAGTAGATGTTATTTTATTCACCCCGACTCTACAATCGCTTTATTACTAAACATGAAAGAAGACATTAACAATGCACTGTACCTTAACACTTGAGGTCACTTTTTCCTGTTTTAGATTAACATGGTGGTTACCATGGTCACCTTGGACTAACGGTGTACTAAAACAAATAACAAAATGTAACTTATTGCCACTTAACATCATTTCATAATTTAACGCTGAAGCTATGTATGACATCAAGAAAGCCTTTCTAAAGACAGTAATGGGCTTAACATGCATTTGTTAATAGCTCTGCAATTAAGCACCTCTCAAACTCATTACTAATTCATCAGGTTTAAACAAAGGAAATCATGACCATGACAGTTTGGATATCCGATCTTAATTAGCATAGATTTTTACAATTTTATTTCTCCGGTTTCTCCTTAGTTTTAGTTTTGATTGAGAAGATATATCAAATGCTCCAGACAGTGTTTGACCACATTTCCAAACAACTGAAAGTTCGTCAAAAATACTCCGCTAGGCGATGCGATGTATTTTCAACTCTCTTCTTGGTGTTTGGAAATGTGGTCAAAAACGCAGTCTTTCGTGCTTGATATATTACATGAAAAGCAGGCCTTTTTATTGCCCCATTCTTTGCATGTTCAAAAATTTGAACTTAATCTGTAAATTTGGAGGACATCTCTCTCAATTCAGGCAGGCATATACATGTGTGTACATATGTAATCTAAGGATTTGAGGCATCAATAACGCCTCAGAAATGTGTTGTTTTGTCAAAAATTAGGTGTCCCTGGCCAATACAAGATCATTATATTTTGTACATTGTAAATCAATATGGCTGATGTGCAAAATCACTTAGGAATATTGACTAATGAGAAATATAATTAAAATACATGTCTTGTATTGACATTGATTGGTATTACTGTAATCTCTCATACAGCTGCTATTCAGGTAGCATATCAATGTTTGGTTAAGGAGGAGCACAACATCACTTAAAAGCCCTGGGATTTCAAATTTCATCTGTAACACTTTTTCAGTTCCGTGTCCAGTCTGTCCAGAAAGATCATGGGAAACAATTGGCCATGGAAAATTGTTGCAGCAAAATTTCACGCTTGCTTTGGACACAAATAAAAGAAAATGAAAAATAGCATTGATCTTGGTTGCAAGACCTCACCTGTGTTTTGGACTTTTTATTTGTTGCACTGCTTGCAGAAAGCTGAGTGTAGCTTGCTAAGGAATACGAAAAAATAACAGTAATTAAAACATTATAACACCAACCAATTCTCTGCCACACAGACAGAGTCAAAGCATAATGGTCAGTACAAAATGTAGCTTCAGCTTTGGGCCAGAAAGATCTATGTGTGTCCTATCTCCAAACATTCTTTGGTGAAAATTATGGAAAATGCCCCAACTTAGATGTTACAGTTTTTAACATTTCACAACCACACCAACAAAGTAGCTCTTAATCTTATCTAATGTGATCTCTGGACTGTTTCGCACTGCTTGTTGCTTATCAAAAAACAAAAATAAGCTGAGACCTTGCAGGACAAAGTAATCTCTAAAAAAAGTTTGGGTTTCTTGAGCAGGGAAGAATGAAGTAAGTTAGAGAACTCAATTCTCAGTTCAGAGTTCAGGCCTTAGTTGTTCAAAGGGTGGATAAGGTTATCAAAAAGACAAATCACTGTCCACTACATGTAGATAAGTGTTGGCAAAACAGACTATGTTATCCACGGGACAGTGATTTATGGGTGGATGGCACCACCCACTCTTTGAAAAACTGAGGCAAGATTCCCAGTCTGGCTAAATATGTCAGTTTACCTCTGACTGAGCAGGACTGCCTGAATCTGAATCACTATTTCCACTTTGGGAATGATTATTCCCTGAAGATGAATTTCCTTGACCTGCTGATCCTCCAGATCTAAATGAAGAATAAAACCAAGTTTGAGCTGCCATTTACCGTAGTAAACTGAACATTATACCTATAGCATGAGCCACTGGTTTCAACTTTAATTTCTTTGTCAGAAACTTTTTTGTAACAATTATAATACAAATACACTGCTATACAAACAAAGGAAGCGGGTATCATCAACCTTGAGATAAGAATACTATATTCTTACACAACATAAACCACCTACAGGGTTTGTACTACTCAGAAACAATGAAAATTCACATGTTTGAGGCAAAGGTTATAATGACAACTTCATTTGCTTCTTTGATTCAACTGCTAAATTCCAGGAATTTTCCAGAAGCAGGTAGAAAAATGATAATTTTCAAGGAACTTTCCGAAGCCCTTGAAGAAATGTTCAAATTCCTGGAGTTTTCTAAGAATTCCAGAAGCAAAATAGTTTGTTATGTCAGGGGTTCAAGATAGCTGATAGTAAGTGACTGAAAAAGTATGATCCAAGGAAAAATGATTTGAGTTCAAGATCAGGGAGATACTGGGGAATTCTAAGAGGGAGGTAAAGGGTTTATATGTGACATGTGAAGAGGGCAAAAATTAGTGTTTGATGCATGAAAGCATCTAAAAGACATATGTAAAGAGTGAATTTGGGGAAAAAGCTATTGTTCACAGAGGCTAAAAGTAAAATGTGACTGGTGAATTTTTGTTAAAATTTGTATGTGAAACAGTAGAGCTGATTCCTCACTAACCCATAATTTCAACCTTCACACTTGAAGACTGAGAGTAACAAGTGAATTTTAATTTACCAAGTTGGTTGATAGGTAATGAAAGCATACCATAAGAACACAAAGACTGCATAAATTGGAAGGGCGTACATTTAAATACTGATAACCTTGAACTGTTTTATAATGTTGACCTTGACAATAGAAAGGGAAAAAGGAAACAATGGGCTGATCGTACGTTAAACAAGGTCATGGTCATATCTTCCACGTGAGATGTGGTATTCGCAATTTCTCTGATCTCACGCAAAATAACACATCAACAACAATTGCATTTCATCACTGACTTTGTAACGACGGTATCAAATGTATGCATCAGAATCAGTATTTATTTTGTTTTGAGTTTTTCATTAAATTACATAATTATAAGAACTACTTCAAATAGAATTTAGCATATTTGCTGTTTCTGGAAGCTGAGGCAAGGACAAAAAATGGAAACAAACAGAATCAAAATGGTTAAAAAATCCAATATTTACTCGCTTGAAAACAAGAGTTTTTCAAATGCATATATTGAGTTAGCGTGTAACACTCCATAACTTGACTGTATGAGAGCTTCTTCTCAAATATATAAGAAATTGGAAAGAAATGTCGACATACTGGTACATGCTTTAACCACACCAAATTTACCCAAGCAAACTGAAAATTAACAATGGCGCAGAAAAGATTGCGATCAATCAAACAGTAAAAAGTTAATGGGGTTACCTACTCAGAAGGCGGGCTCTTGACTCAAAAGGGTATTCCTCAAGATAGGAACTGTACATAATTTTCGTACCAATATTCCGATTGAACGCAAAGTTAAATACTGTTTTTCCGGTGCTCTGATTCATGGAGGTCTGTGTTACCAAAATATCAATTAGACGCAAAATTTTTGTACATGCTCTCTTCAGTTTATGTTCGTGAAAACAACAACGTCAAAAACGCGTAATAATAATAACAAAACATAAACATTCCGCTTTAGGTTCGACAGGTCTTTTTTAACAAATCAATCGAACAAAAGACCAACGCAAATTGCCTACATAAGCTAGTAAACGACAGGAGACAAGTAATTTATGAAGGTATTATTCGATTTTTCTGCTCTTAGGCCCAAGATGGCGCTGGCTAACAAACTAACTTACCCCTGGTTTGGTGGCGAAGGGGGAGCCTGGTTTGATTCCTCAGTGACCTCGTAGTAATCGTACAAGAATCCAAGATTCGACGCCATGTTTAAGTCCTCTCCGTTCACCAGTAAGGAAGATGATATCGGAGAATCGATCTGCGAAACGTAGGCTTTCCAACTGCGGTCGTCTCGCACTCCTTCACTGGTCGGTGATCCTACTACCGTCTTGGTACTCCCCGACGAAACAACAATCGAATTTCCCTCCGTTGTTACCTTTCCTGCCATATTAACACTCAGTCCAGCGCTTTTCCTTCATAAAAAATGACACGGGAACGACAAGTTATCACAAAGAACTACACAACAGGGACGGATCAACACTTACGCGCGCAAAAGAAAACACCGCGGACGAAACAAAAACTCCGCCGAAGGGAACGCACGCCAAGCGAGTAAGTCATGGAAGACAGCCGCAGGAGTGGTAAAAAAAAACTTTTTCAAAAAAGATCCCTTACAATGTTTGCTTCCTAGCTGTATCAACCATGGCAAAAGAAATGCCAAACGCTTGAAACCTTCCAATCCATCTGATTTCCAAAAATTTTATCGTGCGAGTACACGCTGTTTATGGACCCGCTACTCTTGACTCGAGCCGAAACATGATGACTTTCAGTGAAGACTGAGAACGAACGATCACGATCATCATCGGAAGCAGTCAATAACTAATCGTTCACCAAATAAGGGAAAAGTCGTTAAATATTGCGCAATATGAGAATAACAACAAAATTGATCAAATTGACTTCTGCTGTCGCCTTGCCCTGAATTTTCATCATTATTAAGAGTTTTTATCGTTTCGAAGTTTGTGATAAGGTTTGAGGTTTTTTGTTTTCAGGTCTGTCCGGAGGAGGAGTTATATAAGCCTGGGGGTTAATGGTACGTAATCTGCAAAAAAGAGATTGTGAATGTCGCCTCACACGGCAGGATGTGTCTAACTGACCGCGTGCTCAAACCGTACCACTAAAGTCTGTTTCCGACAAGTGCACGCAGTAGTTTCACTTGAGCGGAAAATGAATACTTCCTGGTTTGATGTGTGACAACGTTATCACAGAACAAAGAAAAGCCCTTCTCGATCTAAGCTTATTCGAATCAATGACTCTTTTTCACGTGTGCAAAAACTAAGAAAGCGTCCTTTGTATCTAAACAAGCCATTTTCTGTATGTCTGTGAATTTTTAAGCACTAATTATGAGCCGAGAGATTCACGGAAGTTAATAGATTAACCTGGCGGTTAGACATAGGAAGTTACGGTGGTATAGTTCAACAAAGTCTAAGTCAAGTACTTTCAAACAAAATTCCGCGTGAGTAGTTTTGCAATTTTCTTACTTTTCAAAAGTTTGACATGTGTTTTGACCTGTATTCGCCACGGCCGGCCACCCAAGAGAAAACATGCAACCCGGGCATTGGTTACTACAGCAAGGTGTTTTGCGTGGAAATGCAAGCACTGTGGTGGTCAAATTAACTTACAATACTGATAAGAGTATGATTTGAACTGGCCACGAATTGTTCATCTAGTGACGTTAGTCCAGGAAATGTGAAGAGGGGCAGGACATAGAACTAATTTACACACTTATTTAATTTGTTGGCCCTGGTTAGCACGACAAATCGAGAAGCTGAGCAGCAACTGATTGCCGGATCCGATGCGCTGGCGACGTCAATCCAACAAGATGCCAGGTTGATCACGGGGAAAACAATATGTGGCAGCCGCACAGATTTTAGAAAGATTTTCGCAAGCAGGATAAAGATTTAAGCAATCAGGAGCACTTTTTCCGTGTTTACATAGCCTCATCTAAACACGAGGAGGGTTAATGTTGGGAGAATTCGAGACAGATGTGCAAAGCCGACACGGAAAAAGTTTTCTGCTAGTCAAAATAATTCTCAAAAATACGCACGAATCTAAAACGTCACAACCGCGCCTCACATACTCTCATCTAAACACACCTATCGACCAATGAGAGCGCGCGTAGTAGCTCAGTCATCATTTGTAACGATAAATCGTTTGTTAAAAAGTACACACTTAGCAGTAATGCGGCTGAGTTACGTGTGGAGTTTACATGCTACTAGTGAATTACCATGACTAGGTAACCCCCAGAAATAATTTGCATGGAGGTATACATTAGGAGCTCAGTTTGAAATCATATCGATTAATAATGGTGACAGGACTGAGTAGAGTCCAATTCGGTCTGTAACTGATACGAGTGATAAACAAAATCGGACGACCGCGATGCATGAGTCCGATTTGTTAATCACGAGTATGATCACACACTGAATTGGACGACACGATGTCCTGTTACGGCAATTAATCATAACCATTACAATTTCCAACAAAAGTAGTCATTTTTAAAAATCATAATTTAAAATATGGAGAAGAGCTTGCAAAATGGTTATTAAGTTTTTTTCAAAACAGTGACTGTAATCAATGTTGTGATTGGTGTATTTAGTGGAGGTAGGAGCCATAATCGGGGACGGAGTCCCCGATTATGGCTCCTGGTGGAGGGGACTTAGGTAACTGTCCGATTTCAGGTGTCCGATTACAGCCAACTGTGTCATTACAACGTAAAACTTTGCAGGCTAATTAGAGCAAAATACAGCAGTTTATGCACCAATCACATTTGAGGAAATTATAATTGTTATGATTGTACAGGTTTTTCACCGAGTAAAGAATCAAATATTGTTTGCTGTCAATTCTTCTCATCCGTTGGTGTTTAAACGAGATTTGAGCGAATTTTGGTTCTTAACCCTATGGTATTATAGATAAAAAGCCCGAGAGTCACCGTATTCCAGTTGGAATTTCTGGAAATTTCCAATCGCAGTCACCTGTGGAACATCATTCCCCGGAATTTCCAGAAAAGAGGACAGCCTATGCGAGATATACCGAAATTTTCGGAAATTTCTCAGCGGGAATCCTAGCTAATCCTCTTTCCATTTGACTTTCCTAGCGAAATTCCCGAAATTTTCGGTTGAATGGTTAACTTTTCGGAAATTCATCAATTTCCTCATTTTCTGGAAATTTAATTCCGCATTCGTCCCCGTTTGGATCCATGACCTCTCGAGTGTAACAACCGCGAAAAACTGGTTCCAATTTGTGGTGGTGTAAACATGGCGGCCATCAAGCACAATTTGCAGAGGGATCTGTTTAAACCAAGCGAAGAGCGACTTTACGCTGTCGTAAGTGTAACAAAGGCAGGAAAAAAGAAGAAAGCAAGCTTCCTCTGTGTTGCAGGTATGAATTCAGTTTAAACCCGGTCAGCCAATTCTTAGTACTGGTGCGTTCTTCCGTGTTTACATCCGCAGGCTCGATCAGGTCTCTCAAATTAAAAGCGAACTCTAGATCTATGGAATACATGGCAAAATAGCCGTTAAAAGAATTCATAAATACATATGCGTGTTTATTGTGAATGGAGTTAATTTTTCGTAGGAGCTAACTTTTGAAAATTAACCTAGAGAAGCGTAATACTAAGCTTATAAGCATTGTACTAACTGCATGTAGTTGGAATGAACACAAGCATTCTCTCCCCTGGGGTTAAGACTGAGGGCGGGAGAGGTTAACACAGGCACGGTGCCATGGGTTAGGGCAAATTCAAGTTATGCAGTTATTTGGGCAAGTCACAGACATATTGCTGGGCCATGAGAGATGTGGCAAGGTGTTTTTGTTAAGGTATCCAGATTCAAATCCCCTGACCTGGAATCGATGATGCTGATGCTGCTGCTGATGATAATAATGATGATGATGATGATGATGATTATAATAAATGCATTGAAATTTGTGTGGAATGTGTCTTGACCAATCATATACAAGATCTTGAGACCACGAAACCAGACACAATGAACAATTTTTCGTCCATTATAAAATACACCCTCGAGCCCTATGGTAAATGTGTCTCATAGGAATTTAGATAATTCAATTGGTACTCCTTTTTCTTTGAAAATCAAGTACACCATGAAGAATAAAACATATATTTTAAACTTTTGAATTTTTTTTACTGATGTTTGTCTAGTGACTACAGTAAAGCCAGAGACAGTGTCTGTTTATCAAGTAAAAAAGACTGAGAAAGATACTTACAAGAAGAGAACTAACTGGAGGCTGAAAGATCTCAGACTCATTGATGGCAGAGATGAAACTAATGTAAGAACTTCAAAAAAACAATTTGGCTTCTTGCAATGATTCATAACACGAGCTATGTTTCATAATTTATTATTGGCACTTTATTGTTATAGAATATTTTCTGCTGGGTTTATTACATGTACATTGAATTAAAACCTCTGTGATACAGACACCAAAGGTGTCGGTATCATGGAGGTGTTGGTTTTTTAGAGAAAGAGTTAGAAATATAATCAATTCTGGTTTTTCTGAGACCAAGTGAGCTGACCTTGACTGTAGTTCCGTCCAAAGAATTTTCATTGCCTAGCAATTCCTAAAAATATCACAAAATAATTTGACAAGAATCTCAGTCGTACAGTACACTGTATATCTATAGTTATCTGTTTTCATTTTGGCTGCTTTCAGTCTGCAAAGCCTTAATAGGCGTGGTTTAGAAATCATTATGAATTAATGAATTTTATTTGTTAATTGCACAACTGTATGCACTTCCTTTATGAACTCTAGGCAACTTCTAACATTTGGAAAATGACCACACTGTTATAACTATAATAATAAAAGTATACTATTTTCATTGATATAATTGCGCTGAATTGGCCACGCATGCTACATTATTTAGAGCACTTTTCCACTAGAGACCCTCGTAATACCCATGGGTATTGAGCATAATATTTATACGCCCTTTGCACTTAGCTTGTGATCTTCTCTTATGCATTCAAGCCCCGAGAGGTCTGTTCAGAGTTCCCTTTTTTGCCCCACCCACTTCCCCTCGGCAACAGAAATTTCTATCCTGCTGCACTTCTTTACATGTGCAGAAGTTGTTTTCGTCCATATCTTAGTACAGTATCCTTGCATGTGCCATAGAGGTACAGCATAACAATGAAAATTATTCTACTATAGAATTAAGTGTTCATTAAAACTTGCTATTTAAGCATATGTTTTGTCAGGCAATCAGTTTGTTGATGTTCAATACTTTTGTACCTCTTGTAGGAAAATCCAGAATTTCATCTTCATTTTGACAAGACGTACAAGTGGGTGGCAAGCAGTGTTCAAGACAAAAACAATTTCATAACTGCACTCATAAAGGTATTGATTAATTCACTCCTTATTCCTTCATTTAGTTTTATTTTCAGAAGTAACAATTCTAGAAATAGACCATATTCTTATTCTCGGTATTGGACTGGAACTAGCTTGCAACTGAGGCTAATGCGGGGAGACTGTCTTTCAAACGCAAATAGCATTTATCCCTTTTTAATGATATTCCCCTCGCATGAGCCTTCATTACAAGCTAGGTCCAGTACAAATACCAAGAATACAATTTAATATGGTCTATTGAAACATAACAATGTGATTAAATTAAACACTCAATCGCAGCATTGTCACAATATTTGGAAGTAGCTGTTTTTATTGTAAGTTGCTCTAGTAGATGCAGATTTTGCAATCTAAGATACCCCTGGAAAATACAAGTTTCACGTTCATTTATGAATGAAAAATAGCTTAGTAGTTAGAGATGCCAACCAAGATCGTGAAGTAGAATGGCATATTTTTGACAACCCTGTTTATACTGGGTGTAAGATCAAGTTGTACACAATTTAAACCCCTTTTTAAAAGTCAGGTGTATTTCAGATAAGAACATGCTATGATCTGTACTTGATATTGCTGTGTATTTCTCTCTGTCAAAATCTAGTTTCGGCGTATACTCTACTGTCGATAGATCCTTGTTTTTTATAGAGGACAATGTAACACCTCTAAATGATGTACATTCAATGTCACTCAAGAAATATCCTCATACTGTATGTCTAGTAATATATATGTACAGTGTAGACTATTCTATACTCTAGTTATGCAATGCTTTTGGGTGGGATACTATGGAATATCCCACAAGTCTCATGAATTTTCTTTGTATAAACACAAGCCTTTAGGCGACTGTGTATACCAAGAAAATACAAGTGACAAATGAGATGTTCCATGTTATACCATGAGAGAGCGTTGCATAACTATTTTATACCATGCCATAGAAGATACAGTGGCCAACACAATCGATGCAACATATGCGCAGCGCATGATGGGAAGGTTGGGTGTAATTCCATTCAGTAATATACAATTGCTTTCCTGTTTTGATTGGCTGTATTTGCTATTAATGGCATTTTAATTTATAATGTGCACTTCCAGGAAATATCCATACTCCCCCCACAGAAGGGATTGGAATTTCCTGGGGGGTGGGGGATTCTGAAAGACCAAACAATTTAAAGAAATGTATGAAGCTTAACTGGAATTTCCAGAGGGGTGGGGGAAGGTGTTAGAAAAATCCCTTCCTTGAGGGAGGTATGGACATTTTCTGGAACTACACAATTTATTAAAATATTTTGCTAAATTGCACACACTTTGAGCCAGGAATGTGGTTAATGTATACTTATATTTGATGGTTATCCTTATTAAGTTGGTTGAGAGGCACATAACACAGAGGAAACCAACTTTAGTGAATGTTGGTGTGATTGAAGGTATGTACAGAAATGTATTGTAAGTGATTCAATCTTGTGATAGACTCACATGTAACCTCAACTACTTCTTGGTCCATAAGTAGCAAAAAAAGAACTCGGCCAATACCCAGCCTCCTTCTTCGCAAGCTTGGTGAATAACCTGTATGTCTAAAAGGGAGGGAATTTATTTGGTAGGGAGGGGTTCTTTTTTTGAGACATGATGTTCTTTATATTGGAATGGGGAGTTTGTTTTCCTTTTGACATAGTGTATACATCTAAATGCATTGTTTGAAGAATTGTATGCCTTCTCATGGTAGGGCTGTGCTCTAGAAGCACGTGGTTGCCATAGGCAACTAACTTTTTCCTTTGAGCGACTGGAAAAACTTAATTTTTTCATATAAGCGTAAGTTCTTGGCACCCAGGATTTCATGGTTAGGAACCTTTGGGCTCCTTGTAATTTTTCATACACCACAGCCTTGCAGTGAAATCATAGTTGAGATTACAATTGTTGTGTATCGCTGGCTGGGTTGATGTAAGCAATAAACTAGGGTTGTTGTCAGTTGGTGTACTCTGATGGTACCATTGATGGTATTATTTGAAACAGAATAGGGTAACAATGGCCAAAGGGTATGCAAAGGAGGTGAACTTACATTAGAGAAGGGGTACTTATTGGGTGCAGCACACAACCTTGAACCATTATGATCATAATTATGTACAAGTTTAACTTGTAATTTTTTCCATTCAGGTGTTATTCATGGTGGAGAGAGTAGCAGAGTACAGCAACATACAGATGACGGAGCTGAAGGTAGGTGACTGCTCATTCAAATGTCTACTTTGTAATTTTTCCTACAAAACGACACTTCTATTAGCACACACCTATAACTTGGGCACTCTTTCCTTGAGGATGCCCAGCAAAAATCTGCTCTAAGGGTCACATTCCTAGAGAGGAAGCCTCTCTCAGAGGCCATTCAATCCTCACATGGGACACCCACCTTGAAGATCACCTGAGCAACACTTCCCTTAAGAAACATTACCTGCAGTGCATTAGACAGTTTGTCTACATGTTGAGAAAAAGTGTGGCTTCTCCTATAATGGGACACCTCCTATAAGGGTATGACATGTAAGAGGGCTACGTCCATTAGCGAAGAATATGAGAACACTTCCATTATGGACCCCCTTCACCTCCAAGAAAAGGCATGGTGCTTATCAATTTTTGGTTAGTATGTTGTTTTTACCATTGATTTACAGTGTACCTGTTCCTAAACATAGGTGAAGACTACCAGGAGCTGACACAGCGAGAGGAGAAGGATCTAGAGTACATGATATCACAGACAGAGAATGCCATCAGCAATATTGAAGCATTTACTGAGCAGCTTTCCAAGGACCTATCAGTTTTGGATGGGGTAATACATGAAATCAAAAATATTGATTTGAACAATCTTTACTAATTTAAACAGTCTTTAGTTAGCAACTAGAAAAATGGACATGTGACTATCTGAACATTAGGTTAACTAATGCGACAGTTTATCAAGTGGCTTGGGAGATGTCTTATTCCAACTCATTTGTCTGTCAATGGAAAGATCTTCTGCTTTAACTGCGCAACTATGTGCAATGATATCCACTTTTAATAGGTGCAATATATTTAATATATACTCCCAAAACTGAATATGTTGTTCAGAGAATATCCATACCTCCCTCGAGCTCACAGAAGGGATTTTTTAAGACCCCCACCCCTCTGGAAATTCCAATTAAGCTTCATACAATTCTCTAATTTTTTTGGTCTTACAGACCCCCCTTCCACCCCCAACCCCAGGAAATTCCAATCCCTTCTGTCAGGGAGTATAGATATATTCCGGAACTGCATGACAATCTACTAAATTTGACTATTATTATCCCTCGGGTACATATTTGATGTACTGACAAAGAAAAATGTCTGAATGATTTCTACAGGCTAATATACATTCCATCATGGATGCTGAACCTCAAGTAGAGTCACTGATGCAGCTTTTAAATGATGCTTTAAACGAACTTGATAACTTGGATACACGGCTGACAGGCTATGACAATCTTCTAAGAGTAAGTTGAACTGAAGTAAGTTATCAAAACGTAGTAAATATTATGTTGTTGAAACGCCTGCCATTGTGCAAGGCATTTCTCTTTTGATGATCTCTGCTGACGTTGATATCAATAAACAATAGCCTCCATTTGGTGCAAAAATATGTTCGCATATTTGTCCTGGGACATTATCTGTTCCAAGAAGTGAACAGTTTTCTGAGAGTGTAGCTCGAGGAAAACTGTGAGCTTTGAGGAACAGATAATGTCTAAGGACAAATTAATATCCAAGCATTATTTTTGAGCCAAATGGAGGCTATTGTGTTTATAACCCTTCAAATGGTTTTTGCAACACACGCAGTTTTGAAAAGTGGAGATACAGATATTTCAAGTGGAGATACAGATATTTTACAGTTTTAGCTGGGGCATATTCAGCCACGCAATGCCTTTAGACCAATCATGCATGAACAAAAATATTGATAGATTATAATGAACATTAGTATTCTAATAATATTAGAAAATCTGCGAATCTGATTGGTTCTCTCATCATTTTCTCAGTATTTGCTGATAGGCAACAACCGGGTGCATGCACTGGTCTTGAAGCTGAAAAATTGTTTTTAATTTTAGGCTTGAAAATGCACAGAATTGAAGGTTTTGTGCTGTAATCCTTTTGAGTGTCTACTAAAACAATTAGACCACTCGCCTTCGTTTTCTATGAGTGATGGTAAACTAGCAAATTGAAAACTCAGGCTCGTAGTCTTATTGTTGAATATTATATTTTATATTAGGAAGTGCGAGCTCAGATGGAACAGATGGAGGACAAGGATAAGCACATGGTAACAGAGAGCAGGAATCGTAAGAAGCTGCTGGAGGAGGTGGAAACCTTAGTGGTCAGTGGATATTCCTATTGCGTATTCAAGAGTTATTTCATCGCTAATCAGTAATGTTTAGCATCATTTTGAGAATAGCCAAAGCAAAAAAGTGAACTAACAACCAGAAGTTTCATTAAGGGCTGGGCACCGGGCAAATTTACCAGTTTTGAGGACAATTTTTCCTGTCTGGTTTGACGGTTTAGAGGAAAGTTTTTCTTATATTAGAGGTTCAGTTCCAATAGTTTCGCCTTTCTGTAAAAACCAGTTGCCCTCTTGTTGAAAACGTCAAATGAAACCCCTGAACAACAAATCCCGGAAAGAAATCATAATGATTGTTACTTGAGCTAACTGTCAACGGTGTAAGAATTTAGCTCCCCTTTCTCAAGGATTGTCCTTCTCCAAGCTCGTTCCTCGGGTCTTCGTTCCTTTCTGCGCAAGCTTGACGAAACAAGCGACTCTCAAGAGTTTCTTTACAGGCTTGACTTCTATTGGTTTTAAAAACAATGGAATTGAACGAAAGTAAAACATTAGTGACTCGATTGAGTCACCTGTTTGTCAGCTGGGCATACATTTCCCGTTCATTTCCCGACCACTGGCCAAGAAGAACGAAGACTGTGGTTATAAAGTTGATCCTTCACACACTAGTAATTGCTGTTTGCCACCAACTGATTGTTACTACACTTTATCTTGCAGCACTATTTAGATGTTCCTGAACGTAACATCGTGGCTCTCCAAGAAGCTGACCTCTCTAAAGGAATGGGGCTGAAAGAGTGTACCCATGCCGCTTTTGCTGTACTGCATGCTCTGCAAACTGAACTCAGTCCGGGTAAATGTTGCTTTTATTAGTAAACAGGTTTCCGTTGTCTTTGTGGTTTCCCAAAAGATTAAACTCTGAAACGGTGAAAGAATGAACAGCCAAACGAGCACAAAGCAAACGAAAGCCCGGCCGAACAGAAAGACAGCTGAAAGTACAGAAACAACCGTGCTATGAACCGTCTTTTGAAAATCAAAACATGACATTATTTTTCACCACATTTCCCGCCTTTTCGTCTCAGGTAGTTGCGAGAACTGAAGTCGCTTGAGCTGTCCATGCATCATGCGAATAACATCCTCGGATGAACTAAGTACCATGTCTAAAATTAACTTAAGAGGGATTACCTTGGGTAGAACGCCTATATGGGGGATTCACTCTCTTACCTTGATTTTCTCTTGCCGTTCCGTAAAAGCTATCACCCCATTGAGCCCCTCTTATCTACTATATAGAAAACTATGGAATATGGACACGATTGTTGACACTTTGTTTACCGGAAGAAAGTTCTTCATTTTGAAGGTTTGACTGAGATGAGAGCAGTCAAGGAACAGAGAGAAAAGTTCTGGAAGCTTAGCAGTGATTTTGCTCAGCGTCTGAAGTCACATCTTATTGACATCTTTCAGCGTCACGTAAGTTCTATATCCCACTGTGTTGGTGTTCATAGTAGGCCATATTCGTATTCTCGATATTGGACTGAAACTACATTCAGGGACAAAAATGTCGAGACATTTTTGCAAATCGGACGTTTTCGAACTGATCAAAGAAACACCTTTTTCGTCAATAGCCACCCCCACCGCCCAATGTTGAAACGGGCTTTGGCAACGCTGTCACGTGGTTTCAACACTGGTACGAGGGGAATGAGGCGAGATAAGAGAAGTGTAAGTAGGATAAATTACACTTGAAGGTAGAAAGTTTGTTTTCGGGTAGTGTCGCTACTACTCTCGTCCCTGATTATAGCTTGCAGGGACTCTTTTCAAACGCAAATGACATTAATCTCTTTTTAATGATATTCCTCCGCCTGAGCCTTCTCTGCAAGCTACTTCCAGTCCAGTACCGGAACACGAATATGGTCTGCTAAATGATGACACTTATTACTGACGGAAAGTCCATGGCAATCCAAGCTCGTTCAGTCTCAGCTGAAAACAGTTAAAATATATATATATATATATCAGAATTAATAATGAATTTTGACGATTGAACGATTGGGAGCTGAAAACTTTTTTTTGGTGTCGCTTGCTTGCAAGCTTACAGTTTACGAGCGGGTCAGATTTACTTCACTGCAGTTTCCGACTAGAATGAAAAGATAACTGCACAAAAGTATGAGGCAAACTGAAACCCTTGCCTCAGTAATTTTTGTTTTTGTTTTTGTTTTTTTGAAGGGGGAAATACAACAATGCTATATACCTAGGAAAAGAATTTAACCATGGGCATTGCCTCAGTCATAATTTTGTTCTGGCTATGGTCCTGAAAATCAAGTCCATAAGCTACGAATGCCATTTGCAGGAATTACCATGAATTGACATTTAGCACCAGGGTTTTTGTGTTAACGACAATCCACAAACGGCAGTTTCAGGTCAGGCGTTTGACGTTTGTGGCCTCCACCGTTTTAGCTATACGAAAGCATGAAATAATTATTTCACTTGAAGAGGCCGCCATGCATATTGAATTTCGGGACAACAACAGTGCTTGATTCTCAAATAGCAACAAAAAGACCTATTTTCACTCGTTCGCTCAAAATTACACCTAAACATGTACTAAAAAGACTGGTTTACATAACCCTCTTATCGGTACGTGGCATAGACAGAAATTCAGGATAAAAAACGCAGAGGTAAATCACTTACGTGAAAACCTACTTCGCGGCGTTGAAACTCCAAACGTGACCGCAGCCCTTGGTCACGTGACTTCTAGCGGTTTCTGCTGAAAACCGTGATGCTAAATGTCACTATTGTCTTTACAGGGCACTGATATGGAGACCGTGGTACAGCACTCCAGTGAACTGTGTATACCAAAGCATCTGTCCTGTCACAATGACCTTGCTCCATTCTCGGATCTTATGAAGTGGCTCAAAGAAGTGGACCAGACGGTGTTTCTCGAGCTTTGCCAGGTGCTTGTACAATGCCATTTACCCTCAGATTTAGCTTGCGTGGCCGGCCAGATATCCATTGTAACCTCTAACGAGGCTACAACAAATCGCACGTGTACACGCGTTGAAATATGCTGCGAGGACAGGCGTGCTCAGGTCTTCGATATCCTCGGAATGGAAGGATTTACGTTTTCTCACAGATAACGTAGTACTCGAAGATCTGAATTCAATGTAAAAAAATAGAATGTAAAATGCAATGTTTTCTTACTCTGCCCTTTGAAAACCAAAGAAAAGACGGAGAGAAACCTTAGCTCAAAATTCAGACAAAAAGGTTGGGACACGAAGCAAGCTCTCCCCTCCCCCCACTTNCTGAGTTACACAGCTACATCCACTTTGCTGATAGACTTGATAACTTGTAAGTACACTTGATTCACTTATAATTAAGGATATTAGGATATCACCTCAAAACAGTCCTAAAGGAGTCCTAAAAAGCTTTTTTTTTCTTAATGGATGTATTCTTTGCATTGTGGTAAAGTTTTATGTCGATTCTTGGATGAAATATCTGAGCCTTTCTAGCTTTCACCGCCTGAGGGATTCCGTAACTCATGACAATGTCTTTAAACCATACGAGGTAAAAATAAGACATTTCACTTTGATGCTACTGAGAATTTCCGTCCAAAAGAGGAAATACAGGAGAAAATCGTGGCTGGGACAAGTGACATTTTACTACTTACAATAAGATAGTTTAAGAGACCGTAGCACATGTGCTTTAATCTTGTGTTAACGGATTTTTTTTTCATTGTGTTACAGTAACACCATGTATATGCTGGTGAAGATCGGTCATTTCGTCATTACAACCCAGCTCTCTGGCTCGCCTGTTTCGTTCCTCAGTCAACAGCTTGGAAACTGCCTCATTTCTGTGAAGAGGCTCTTTGACAAGTTTATAGTGAGTCGCTGATGTGCAAAGCCCCACACTACCCTCCACCACTTCCACTCCACACAATAGTAACTACAGCTTACGAAATATTGCAGAAATCTTTTTTGCATTGTAATAAACCAAAACTTGGTTTTCAAAAATCAATCCTGGTACTCGTCTTCTTCGTGGAGGTGCAGTGGCCTCATGGTTAGCTCGCTCGACTCTGGATCGAGCGGTCCTGGTTCGAACCCTAGCCGGGGACATTGTGTTGGGCAAGACACTAAACGTTACAATGTCTCTCTCCACCCGGGCGTATAAATGGGTGCCGGCGAATTTAATGCTTTGGCGTAACCCTTCGATGGACTAGCATCCCATCCAGGGGGGAGTAGAAATATTCCTAGGTTTTTCGTGTTACAGAATAAGCTCCGGCCTGATGGGCCACTTGGTTCGTAAGCAGACTTTTATTCCTACTCGTCTTCTTTGAGTTATATTCATAACTGTCAGATGGCGTTGGATTTTACAGCTTACTTATTGATTTAAAAATGTATTGTTTACCCAAGACTGGTACAAAAAGTTTCGTTTGATCTTTCCTACAGTCGAACATGAAGAAACAAATTGAGGAAACGAAGATCCAAAAGACAAAGAAATGTGGAATTTTACCTTTCGTGACCAAGTTCGAGGTAAACTGAAAAGAGTGAGTCTTATATTTTCGATTTGTTCTAAGTTACAACGAGTTATACTCTTACCTTCCCCTTAGGAATTTGCAGGCATTTCAGAAAGCGTGTTCAAGAACTCAGATCGTCGTACTGACCTCGACAAGGCTTATCACCATCTTATACGAGTGTTGTTTGAGAACATAGAACGAATGGCTGACGAACATCAAAAGACACCGCGCGCGGTGATCATGATGGGTAAGTCTGCTGGGGACGGGACGGTGGGGCTTTCTTGTGCCTGCACTGCCTCCGTAGTGTACAGTAAAAACCCGCATAAAAGAACAAGTGGATTAAGAACACTCAAGCTGAAATTTGGTCAAAAAAGTGCCGTATACATAAGAACACATTCAGCCTGAAAGATGAAAATTGTTCTTATATAAAAAAATTGGCTGCCAGTTAGATTAGAATAACCTACTAGAGTGCAGTACTGAGTACAGTACTGAGTGGATCAATATATGTACTATACATTAATTAATTAAAATGTTGTGCTTGCACTTTGATTTCTTCTGTTGGTAGTCTATGCAGTATTTCATTTTTAGAAACGATTTTAAGAACACCTTACGAACATTTTCAGGCTGATTTTGCAGAAAACACCCGATATATAAGAACAAAATCAGCCTGAACCCCCAAAACATGTGTTCTTTAATGCGGGTTTTCACTGTACTTTATTTTTTTTATATCTCTCAGTTAGTGCGCGCGCTGTGATTGGTCAATTTAATCGGCCGTACTCTTATGTACGGCCCGCTAAAACTTAAAGCTATTTTTGTTGCCAAAATGTTTCGTGATTTATTACCAAGTTTTCTTAACTTTTTTAGCAAGTAAAAGTTTAAAACTTTCTTTTACTTCTGAAATTGTGTATTAAAATCTGATAACGTCTTAAGAGTCACTTAACAACGATTTCAAATTGACTCGTTTTGCTTGCGAGGTGCGTCAGGAATTTGAAGCCGTTCCGCGTGAATAGAAATCGTTCCCGAACCCGTCAAACACATAGTAGAGATATAATAAATATCTTACTAACCTCGGTCCGTAACTCACAGGACGGCCCTCGAACTCGGTTAGTTAGAGGTATCTACCATCTCTCTGTATAGAAGAGTGATTGGCTAAGACTAATCTCATTTGTTTTTTTCGCAGAAAACTGTCATCATTTGTTTAGTAAGTATTGAGCTGTACAAGAACTGAACTCTTTTCCTACTAGATGCATACATACATACTTTATTGCAGCTCCCTACAAGGGTTTTTCAGTCACATTACTACTTATAACTTATAACTAACTTACTTATAGAACTACTCATAACTATACGAATGAGCACAACAACTTCTACAATTCACATAATGGTCTGAAAAACATAAAAACATGAAAGAGGCGAGCAACGCGCGGGAAATGTAAGAAAATTGGAAATTGGATGCAAAGCAAATTTAATCGAATCAAATCAAATCAAATCAAATCACGCAACCTGATTCGTTAGCTCCCTTTGCGCAAGTTTTGTGACCCAATGAGCATACGCTAAATCAGTGACGTAGAGACTGATGTCACTTCACGCGCTTTTTTTGTGACTTTTCTCAGGGGTTTTGACGCGACTAAAAATTGTTTGCTTGGAGAACGAGAAGAGGGAAGCAAAGAAGAAGTACAACGACAGCCAAAAGATGTACGTGAAGGAAATGCTTGGAAGACCCATGGAGAAACTAAATGTAAGGAT